ATCGCAAAACCTACAATGTTACATCCGATAATAGATCTTTTAATCCCAAACAGGTCAGAGACAAGAGGCTGTGCCAGAGCATCGGAGGGAAAGAGACAGAAAACAAGTTGCTACTGCAGATCAGTGAAGCCGAACAAGTGTCAGACTTTGAAAGGATTCTTAATTCTAATGCAATACTGTGGAAGCGGACGGCTTCACGAACTCACGGGCACGTGTGGCAGAGGAATGCCACACATACTCCAATCTCATTCACCTCGCGGCCTCGCTCCTCTTATTCACTTCGAGCTGTAAGCCAAGCCTATCACTTTTTATTCCGTCAACACGAGGAATCACTGCAACCCCTTATAGATAAATATCGCAAAAACGATCTTAATGATCACAAAGACGCATCGGCGAGCTTACTAGAGAGCAATTGGTTCGAAAATCTTCAGGACCTCTCTGAGTTTTATGAAGACGATCCTATCCTACAAAGAGAAATAGAAACAATTACAGATCGCATCATAACAGAAGAAGTAAAACCAAGTGAAGAGGAGCAGACAACGACACGTAGCCTTTTCAATGTCAACTTAGCTGAGTTGTTCGGCTTACATGTGAATGGGGACAGGGTATCCCCGACTTACCGCGAGGAGCAAGGTCCATTTTCGGTTACTGACATAAAAGAGCACAGCGACGGGAAGGAATGGCTCGATCCGATTATGACCTCGAACCCCAATAATCGGTCTCATTCAGAGGAGGGTGATTCGGGCGTCGATTGTTTATCGCAAAATTTGACCGCAGTTCAAATTGATTGTGATACAAATGTGCCGACAATAACGTTCAGCAATTGTTGCGAAGGCCGATCCCGTACTGATATACCTAACAATACGAACGTTATACATTTAGCCGTGCCCACTATTGAAGACTCTGATGAATCCCGACCACCAATGATGTGACCTTCATTGGTCATTATATAAATTGACAAAAGATTTGTTAAAGTTTCAAAGTCATTAATGACGATGATTGCGTTAGAGCCAGAACAGCCGAGGCCAGCGGAAGATCTTGTTCTGAAAATGGAGCCATCTAGTTCACAGAGAACATTAACCCGTTCGAGTGCGATTAGCCAGAAGTCGGTTGACATAACAGTATATCCGGAAAGTTCTAATAATCCTTTACATAGATCAAAACTAGCTCCTGTGAGATCTTCATCAGAGTCTCAATCGTCGGGGAAGAAAATTTTGAACCTAAGGAAGACTAAGAACTCTTCAATAGAGTCAACGATGAGTCTCCCAAATCAGAAGTCTTTAGATAAGAAGCACAGCACCCTTCGTCACCAGAAATCTATTGTGGCCCATTCAGACATCACACTAAGCACACAACCATCCGTTTCTGATGACAGAAAAGCACTGCGAGAAGCATTATACCAGGGTATATTCCATAGGCACAGGCGGACAATATTTGCCGTCGGTTCGTTCCTTAGGATGCTAAGAAGCAAAACGTCCAATTATGACTCTATTAGATCAGAATCAGATGAAATTTAGCAGAAAACGTAGTTTTTAGCAGATAATTATATACCTAATGATATAACGGTGATGCGACAGACTGCAATGCTTTTTAATGTTATGCTATAGGAATAGTGTATGATGTTGTTAGATTGATAATTTTTAACAGTTGTTTTGTATTAAATGTTCCTAATTAGTTGGACAGTGTTTTATTCAACCCGCTACAATGGCCCAAATCGTTAAATAGAACGCCATACTTGTTTGTAGCCTTGTTGTACAATATCATAATAAGATTTAGTATTACGCGAATACCTAAAAGTGATCTAAGAAAACGATGACATGAAGATCGTAAGTACAATTTTCTATTACGATATCGCGTGACCCACACAAGGTCACATTAATCGTATTCCTATTGACTTCAAAAAATGCAATCATGTTAATAGTTTAAACATAAACATAAGAAATAAATCCCTTTCCCCATCTGGATGTTTCTTGATTGTTTTTCTATAATATCAGAAAATAAAATTTAATTTATAAGAAAACCATGAAATTTTGATAGAATTATAATTTTAATCAAAATATTGAGATTTAAATTTACGTAAAATAAAGTTGTATGGGTCTTATGATATTGTTTGTGGTGTATGAAATAAACTAAGTAACTTTAATAATAAGTGGCTACTCAGTAGGCAGTTAATTAAAATATGAAAATCGCGATATTTTCATGGAGCTTATTAACACGTAGAGACAGTTTAAATAATTGCAACACTTAATCACTTTTATGGAACGGTTATTGCAAAAAAATAATCGATTTTTGCAGACTTTGTCTCTCTAGTGTTGCTATGATTAAAAAATATTTTTTGTGTTTTTTTGCAATAACATAATATGAAATGTATATTAGATACGTATAATGTAAATACGTACTACAATAGAATGTTGACACATTTTTGGAACAATTTATGCACCTTTTATATATTTGTATACACGTGAAATTGTGCTCTTGTGCCTGTAATTTTGTAAAACAAAGAAAGTGCTTATTATACATAGCTTCTTTTATTTTGAGTAAACAGGGGTTATGGAATTGGAATAATTAAAGCATCGGTGCCAATGTTACATTTTTTAAATAAAAGTTATCAAAATCATTTGAAATGTTTCTAGTTTTAAAATCTTTTGTACTTTTGTAGCCCTGTTTACTTTGTCAATAGCTCGTAGTTTACGTTTTCGTCTGCCAAAATACGACATATTAGAAAAGTTGTAAATTGGATGTTTATATAAAAAATCATGAGCTTTTCAATTAGATTAGATAGCTTTGTAATACATAGATTGGTGATTTTATAAAGCGTTAACTGTATTGATGAAACGATTTTCGTCTTTATTTAAATATTGTTATTCGTAAGTAGTAATTTGAATCTGTAATTTTAAGTTCAAAACATTCCTTTTGCACTTGAATATTATTACATAAAAAGACTGTTGAAAATTGATTTATGTGAAAACTATCCGTGATTTATATGAATAAAGTGTTTTTATCAATAAAATGGTAGTTTTCCTTAACAGAAAGGTCTATTATTACGCATGGTAATATAATTGACATGATACGATACAATTCTTTAGCCTGGCAATTATGTGATGTGTTTACATTACCTAATTGTATAAATGGAGGCCAACAAGTTAAACATGATACATACCTACAGGCGGATAAGTAAACCTTGAACGGCGTTCCAAAATTAATACAATATTTTTATAAATTAGAACGAATAGAAGTTTCTGTGTGTCCTGTCTAGTTTCATAAAGAACCTTACTAGGCTTACGTAAACTGTAGGAGCGCAGGTGCTGGTAAATTCAAGGTAGGTACTAAAGTATAATTAAGGTAATAAAACAAATGAAAATTCAATAAACCATATATTTTTATTTTATGTAACTTTGTCTATTTCAAGCATAATCACTTAATATCTATACAACAATATTGATAGGTATACTATCGGCCGAAAATACAAAACTTTGGTTGCTAGCTTACAATGTCGAAATAACTATAACAGATTAACTTTAATTTTAGTTTACTTTTAATATACATTTTAGTACTGATGACAATAAGCTTTAAATTAAAAAAGGCCAATGTCTAAAACTTCTCTCAGAAATAAATTTTCGTCCTAATTAGAATTTGAATATATTTTTTATTACATTTACTTGAAAAATTATTTGTTTACCCTAATTAGGAAAAAATCAAGAGTCAGTCAGACATTGGAAATGCATGAAAAAATTATAAAAAAAACGTTGTGTTAAAAAAACAAGTCCATTAGACAAATAATATAAGCCGGGGTAGGAATTAGAGTTGGCGCCAATCTACACTCCACAGTCAAGATGCCTTAACAGTAGTGTATGTAGAAAGTCGAAAACTTAATTTGTATGGAAATGACAGTTCGTGTCGAAAAGTTTTCATACAAATTTAGTTTTTGACGTTCTACATACACTACTGTTAAGGCATCTTGACTAAGGCCCCAGAGCTGTCAACTGGAGAGATAGAGTATATCCTCTTACATACTTACTTATGACAGATTTGAATTTTGACAGTGCTGGTAGGCTCTAGAATAGCTCTGAATGTATTCTGTATTTTCCGAAATACAGCAAGGTAAATAAATATTTATAAAATTGTTGTAATTTTTAAATATTTCACATTGAAATAAAAAGTTTACTTTTTCAAGTATGTCTTGAATAAATAAAAACTTTTTCATTACAGAAATAGGTCCTGACACTAGGGACCTCCTGTGTTGTGGGTACAAACTTCATACTAATAATAAAATATAATGTGACTAAAAGCATTAAAACACATTATTACAAATAATTTTAATAATTTCCGGAAACCGCTAATTTATACCCCGTTAGACTAGATCTAAATGTATTTTCAAATGGACTCGATACTACTTTATCACATAATCGTTCATCTATGATGAATATATACAAATCAATTTTGCTTAAGGCACAAAATAGCTGGCTTCAAGCCTACTCTAATCAAGAATATATACAATGTTGGCCCCAAAAGAAGGTTGTTAAATAATTTTAATCTATCACACATCCATTGAAATAAAACAATCTGTAGGGTGTTCTATACTCGATGGTTCGCTGTAGTCTTAAACAAATATTTAAAAAAAATATTTGACATATCTCTTTAAAGTAATAAAATTAATAGACCTCACCGACACCGTTTACCGAGCCTCTGACAGTCTTTGATAGCGAAAATCACAACGCGATATACTTTTGAAAAACAATGAACTACTTTGGCATATAAGGAATTCTTGTGTCATGCTTTTATTGCTTCAATGGAGATCAAATATACAGTTATGACTAACAATAACTTCCATATACTTATTTTATTAATAAACACACAAGTCACACGTGATATTGCATTTTAATTCCCAATTAAACGTAGATAAAAATGGTTTCCGCATAACTTTACATTGGGATTTGACAACGCTCACATTCTACTAAATGTTCTTGACAACAGTCTTTTCACATCTCCATTAATATAAATCACGCCTTTTTCTTTCCTTTTGTATTTTCTTCCGCGAATATTTCTTTGTAGTCGTTGAGCAAGATGTCAACGACGTTATTCTGTTGTATGCAGTCGACGGCGATTCTTTCTAGATCTTTTGTCCATAACAAGGTTGGGCCGAATACAATGGCAAGGTTTGCTGTATGCATTCTGTTGCGCTCACTGTATTCTGTTACTCTGTAATGGATAAAAATAGTTTACTCGAAAGCCCTTTGGAACAATTATTGTCTAATATTAAGTCGTTAATAAAAAAGTAATTTAAAAATTAAACCAACTTATTTATTTACACTTTTTGCACAATAGGATAATATTAATAATAAACTAAAAAAAAGAATGGAATGGTGCAATGGGCGGCCTTATCATTGCTAAACAATATCTTTTAAGCAACCCTCACTAAATAAAATAGTTTAAAAAAATAATAATTGTAATGTAATGCAAGTGTGAAACCTAACTTATAAAACAACAAAAAAATAGAATAAAATGTTACATAACTACTTCTTCAACTTCAAATACTTACTAACAATATTTACTTATTTATTGCAATACCTCTAAAACTATTCAACTGGGGGCTTAGTCAAGATTCCTTAACAGAAATATATATAGAATGTATGTAGAAAGCCGAAAACTAAATTTGTATGAAAATGACAATTCGTGTCGACAAATTTTCACTTATTCGTTTTTGTTGTTTTCAATTGTCATTCCCCAAGGTTCGTTAATACAACAAATATAGTCGTCATGACGACTATATTTGTTTGCAACGAACCTTGAGGGAAACCCCGTAACATTTGAAGCTCGTGTGGTATTCGGGGATTATTTTTCCGACCCAAATGTCGGCCAATAGAATTGACCATGAGACGAAATGTACATTAACAAATAAGAATTTCTAATGATAAAAAATATTAATACTTTTCTTGAAGAAGACAGAGAAAATTTTCACAAAAATTTTCAGTATAATACCATGTAGGTTGTACCACGTGACGTCGAATGGTGCAATTCTATTGGCCGACATTAGGGTCGGAAAAATAATCATATAAATTTAGTTTTCGACTTTCAACGTTAAGGCATCTTGACTAAACGATTTCCGATGAAGTATTATCGTCATTAGATTCATCCCTGATTAGAGATCGTCTTACTCAAGTATTTACACATTTATGACAACCTCGTTTTTAGAGTCGGTTAGAAACAGCCCGTGCTCAAAAAAGAATGAAAATGTATTAGAGCTTTCCGCCGTATAACTTTTCACGGAGCCCCAAACTTCCGCGCTAAATGCGTCAAATGAACCGGTACATAACTTATTGATAAATAAAATTGTTCATACAAGTTTATTAAAAAAAGTCAATTTCATGATGTTGGTAATTTTAAATGGTCCATTCCTTTTTAAATATTCCTTCTGTAATAGATGTTCTATTCAAATATTTTTTATTATTATTTCAAAACCGAAAATTAAATAAAAATTTAGCTTAATTAAAAAAAAAATCTTTGTTCTTCATTAATGGAAAAAACGGTAATATTCAAGTCAAAATACTTACTTTAATAAATGTTCGAGAATAAATTTTAGAGTATCTCTATTACATTGAGGTAGAGCTTGCACAATATCTCTAAACTCCTTGATTCTGGTTTCTCTCGGTCGGAGAGCTAAAAAAATAAGTGTAATTACTATATTATCAGGAAGCGTACTACTGACGTGATACATTTTATATATAAGGGATATTTCATAGTAAACATTTAAAAAAATGGTTTGAATAAATACTAAAATCGATTCAAAGTTACTCCACGTGCTTCTTAAAAAATATCAACGATACAGACATAATAATGCATCCATGCACAGTGAAGGAAGTCCTTCCTAATATTTTGTTACCACTTACAGCAAGCATCGAGAACCCTCTGGAACATCGAGCACGGAATGAGGGGCTCCTTTAGCTCACGGAAGAACAGCTTCAATGATCCCGTCAGCACGTGAATATCAGTCGTATTCTCTATTACCGAGAAATTATTCTGGTCCACCTGGAAAGTTATCTAACATTTAAAAAGATTATATAAACGCCCTTTCATGCTGAATCCGCAAACGAGTAGGCTTAGGAGCTTCTAGATAGAGATGGGTTGACTTAAAAGTCACGATATTATCTGTTTCTAAAAAAACATTAATTATTATATTATATTATATAATATTATATTATATTATATTATATTATTATACATAGATAAGATTCTAGCAGTAGAGTATAATCGCCGCACAAAAAATCATACCTCCAGTCGTATCTTCTGCACCTGACTGAGGTTTCCGCTCGCTCTATACAGTCCATCTGTGCACATATTCTCTTCGCTGCTCTCGATCTCCCTCACACAGGCTTTCACAAACTCTGGAACTCGAGGGCTGCTTAATGGACACACTTCATCCAGGTCACGCCCAAATACTGGTTCATCTGGAAATGGGAACAACATAAAGATTAAAATATTGACTTTTCGTGGAATTTACATTGCGATATGTAACTTTTAGGGGATCACGTTTTTGGCTTATTTTGTAATAATACGGCTTCAAAGATTTTCAAACCGTTTAGAGTCCATGAAAGCGTAAACGCCAAAGATAAGCTTTAATAGCTTTTCATATGACATATACGTACATAAGAATAAATGTAAGACGGGTGGTGAGAACGTACAACTAAAGAAGGTAGCGTTCGATTATGTCTACGCGTTTTAGACTAAATACCGTTAATCCATTGGAACGGAAAATCGTATCATTTACAGATTCATTCTCACCCCACTTCAAACACGGTCATAGCTTACAAAATGTGTAACAAATACGTCTCTCTCTATAACGTTGTACTTTGCAGTCATTTACCCAATAATCAGATTTAAATATTGTCAGGTTTTATAAATAAACCTCATCCATGTATATAACTAAATCTAAACAAAAATAAATAGAAAATGTAATTACAGAGTACACGGTATCACTTTTCGTCTTACCTTACCAAAAGTTAATAAACCCAACTACTTGTTAATTCTACAACCATCCACCGTTGAAGGAAAAGGATTATTCTAGGTAAAAAATGAAACACTCTACATTACTTAAGATCAATTTTTTCTCACACATCTCCACTTACCTCATATTTTTCTATTAACAATTTACACGATAACTTTAATTCCAAACCGGAAATAGCAGAAAAGCAATCAAAATCTACAGGCGTGCAAATTAAAAGCTATTTATTTAAATCTATTAGTGCGTCTAAAATCAGTGTCAAAACTCCACACACCGACTCAAATATTGCAATTCGAACCTTTGTAGATGCCTTTCTTCACAAGAACTTCCATAGCCGGTCGTTTAGCGAAGAATTTCTTTAACTTGCTTCTGACGTGGTACTTGTAAGTGGATACTTCAGTTGAATCACTGAGATCTTCATTGCTACTGCCACCAGCTGAAAGAGCACATTCACATAACGTATGAAGGTACACATAAAAGCTAAAGCAAAAGAATGAAAGGAAGAAGCGTGAAAGGAAACCAAACGTCCCAAGAGAAACATTCAGAAATAAAGAAAGATTTAGGAAGGATTATTTATTCAGTCTCGGTTACACTGCGACAAAAGATGCTAAGACACAGAAGTTATATTACATCGAGAACAGGGTAAGTCTTCAAATGTACCTTGCCTTTTCCTCCGCTTTGTGACGTCAATTCGTTACTAACTCTCACTCAAACGTTACCGTCTTTGAAATGATAACACTATCGGAAATATAAAATGATAAACAGTAAAACACGTATCTATGAACCTCACCATTTATAGATAGTGTAGTGTACACTTTTGTACCTTTGTAAAATAAACGAACAAATCCTCTAAACATGAACACCATAACACGAAAACCGCTGGCGTAATTTCCTGAACGGTGGATGGCCGACTCAATCTCAAACTATGTAATTAATCCTAAGCAAACACAAATCATACGTTGTAATACGTAGTTAAATTGCTGAGATCCGAAGATGCTTTTAATTTTGTATTTGTGCACTTTTCTAGTTTTAGCCATCAGTTCCGAGTTTCCAATTTCAGAAATTGCTTTCACTAGGTGATAATCCATTATTCACTTCAACAGTTTACTGAATTGAGCTAACATTTTAAACACGCAAATTCCATTCGAGTGTAAAATAAACACTTTCTTAAAGAATAATACAGTTAACCATTCACTTAGAAATAGAGTACTAATGACACTGAATTTAATAAGGCATTGCATCAAAACGAATTATCTGATAAAACATATTGATATATGGATCGTTATCAAAATATAGATAGGTGAACATTATATTAATTTCATCGTTAGAGTACAATATAATCCAAATATTATTTTATTTACCAGGATGAGTTCTACACTTGAAAACTTTCTTTGTTTTTTGCAAAATGGCGCTACATAGTATCACCTTACATGAATGTAAACGGCGAAAACCGTCGACACAGCCGCAACTCATCATAATCTTTCAGTCATCAGGTCACCATTATCACTTATTTATACACAACACTTCGAATAAGATCTCACGGTATTAAAGAAATTTTATATAGTCAGTTAAAATACGTGCGCAAACATATTTCAATATTAAATCGACTGAAATTTATTCTAAACTGATGAGGAAAAACAATAAGTGTATGTTTACCGGGAAGTTGATTCATAAAACCCCAAGCCTCTCGAAGATGACGTTCTTTTGTTTAATTAGCCCCAAGTTCATAGAGTTAATAACGGCTGGTTATCTCTGAAAACAATACTTTGCACTACGTTAATATTAAGGAGAACGATAAAAACGGACCGTAAAATGTTGGAGGAGCTTTGTAAGAATAAGAAAAAAAAAGGACACTTGTAAGAATTGTAATTTTACTTGAAATAACTTTGACTGTTATTTTAACATCACTAAGCATTAAATATAATTGACAGATCTTACATTATAACCATTAAAAAATCCTTTTACCAGGGCAAAGGGCGGTTAACTATTTCATTGGAAACAATAGACAATCTATGTCTATACAAGCTTTAAAGCTAAAATATCGAATTTTTTAAAATTGAAATTCTTCTTCATCGTATATATATATCATTTCGATTAAGGCTACGGTCGGAATAATGTATAATATAAGCTAAGCTTATATTATACATTATTCCGGAGTTGAACCCGTTCTACATGTAACGATATAGAGAACACCATTGAATGTATCCGCAAGTTGCGCAAGTCTTGACTAAAACTCTCTCAAAAAAAGAGTACCTTATATTTTTATTATTAAACTAGCTGGTGCCCGCGACTTCGTCTGCGCAGGATTAAGCCATATTTTATCTACTTTAAATAGAAGCGATAAAAATATCTATTTTCATTTAGGAATCAATTTATTACTACCAAATGTGCATTTGAAATAAATTATTATATTTTATTGTACATATACAACATAGATATATATACTGTGGCGGCCTTTTTATTACGACTATTTAAGACAAACATTTCCATCATACATTACATAATATGTGTAACTCTAGCGGTTTTGGCAGCGCACGCCAGAATAGCTCGCAGATGGTAGATTTTTTCTTACTTACTTGATATTTTGGACAATTCATACAATATCTTTATAAATTGTAGCCTGTATGTTATTTTGAAGCTATATTATTGTAAAGTTTCATTTAAATTCATTCAGTAGCTTTTACGTGAAAGAGTAACAAACATCCATCCATAGTTCGCGTTTATAATATTAGGATATAGTTTGGCTATCATGATCCTCAGGTTATGCGTAAGGCCTTGTGAATGTGACCAACTCACCCTTAGTAAAGACAAAATATCGTCTTTCATTAACGCATAGATAAAATAAAATATCTGTGATTATTATGTCAGGATTATAACGCGTTTAATTATCACACTAAAATAACTATCTGTGTATATGTATTTAAAATTATTAACTGTCCCGATGCGTCCGTAACCGTGCTTGGAGAAAAGCACAAAAGAGGCGTGGGAAACTTTTTATAATTCTTAATTCAAAAATAACAAGTGCCCATTAAACGCGTTATTGTTCACATAAAAAAAAAACACATTAAAATGATTTAAAAAATCACCAAACTTCTAACCAAAATCCTTTCTAGGAACTTGAGCATTTCATGAATATATATATCGCGTATACATGGATACTAACTTTTTTGTTTGCTCCTAGTAGCGTGCCGTGACACTGGTGGAGTACGGCCCAGGCTCTCAAGGTCCGTGTTACTGCTTTGGTATTGTGGACTTGGGCGGTCATCTAATGCTGGTGGACCCTGCGGAAAATAGGAATAAATTACATTTTTGTACAGGTTATTTTAACCCAACGATACAATCCTTGGGTAAATTAAGATTTAATAAGCCCGGGTCCCTCAGCTTGAATGCCTGGCGAACTCCGAGGGCCCATCTTAAGGGCGAATGAAGGGTGAGGTGTTTTTAGTGGGTGGTGTCACGCTACCCCTCTGAATAGCAGAGGGATTTGAGTGTAGACCCAGCCCCACAGTCCCCGCGTCAAGCTCGACATCCATGGCGCAGGCCTGCGTAAGCGCATTTTCACCTCATTTAAAAACAAAAAAATTCAAAGCGGGAAGTAAAACTCGCCTCTCTGAAAAATGTTTTGGATTTTAAGGCACGGGTCATACTTAGCGCTAAGTCACTGTATCTTACACCTAGTGCTGAGGATGAAGCATGGTGACGATCCTCGACCGGCCTAAGCCCTGACTGGCCCGAAGGCCCCCAGTGGCTAAGGCCGAGAAGTTGTATATATCCTTAGAGGCCGGAATAACTTCGTTTGTGCGATTCAGGGTATGACGTCATCGCAGTGAATTATCCAGAGAATGAAGTTGTCGCTACAAGACCCACAGTTTCGGCTTTAGATTACATCTATTTCATTTCAATTAAATTTGTTTTCTTTAATTTTATAATGAGGCAATTTAAGTTAATACACATTTTATAATCTTCTCTCTATATAGAGAAGGAACAATGTGAAATGTGTTTAATAGTTCAATATCTACACGAAATGAAAAATTCATTAGTGCAGCTCAGCTTTTGAACTCAAAAAAATCAAAAAAATATTTACCTAAATAATAATCTCCGACAGGACAAGATCGCAGAACAAAATTAAAATCGTAGATAAAATCTTTCAGCAAAAATTTATATGTATATACTAACCAGTTTATAAATGACATTCTGAATGCATTTCAGGAGTTTCTTGGCGCCTTCTTCAGACTCAACCTGGAGCAAGTACTGATCATGTTCTACGGTCAGCACTAGAGATCGTGTGAATCTGTGGGTACATTTGTAACTTATGCTTTATATATTAAATGTTATTTACTTAGATTATTTAAATTTGATGAAGCGGAAATCGCGTGTATTTTTGCAGTTTCTTTGAAAAAATCAATTTATAGACACGAGGCTCAAGACACTATATAAAACAAATGACCGATAAACAAAACCGCAATAATATAATTTTATTTTAATAAAATAAATAAAAATGTAGCGAATAAAGTGCTGTTATACAATTTATTACATGGCACAGTAGTCATGTCCTTTAATGTGATTATTTAAAGACTTCATTAAAATCTTTTAGAAGATAATACAACTCATACAATCACACGACTTACCGTCTAGTATGCATTTGAATACACTGAAGTATGTGCGCATTGAGCAGTGGTAGGACTAGTTCGGCTCGTGGTGCAGTAGGACTTGGGGGGGCATTAAAGGGCTTTGGCACCTTCTGCAAGAGACAAAATTAAGACTTACCGTTTTATTCATTCAAAGAATAATAATTTTATTTTAAGCTCTTAGCTTTAAACAAACAAGAAATAAATTATAAAATTCTTTCATTTTCCGCAACTTCGTATTTTCGAATTCCTTGTACATTTTACATGATATGGATCCCCATATGTGTTATAAAAACTGGTCGCTGTTGAAATAGTAAAACTTTATAAGTAAAAGGCGGTCTAAAACGTTGGTCCATTGTCCAATTTCGTCCCACGATATTTTGGAAGTTTCTAGAAAAAATATGTAATAGGCGGTATGAGTATACTATCGATGACCTGGAGAGTATTCGAATGTTAATAAATTCAGCACAAGCTGGTTTATTGTTTTTATAGATCGGCAGGCAGAGTACTATTCAGACAGTCAGCTTGTGGACTTCTTCCAGACCGTTCGAGAGGGATGCAGTGCAAATAAATAGTTGAACTAAATCAGCATATTCCAGGTTAGAAAAACATTGTCGCTCGCCTATTATTAGTACTAGTTTTAACTCACTGGAGTCAAGGGTAAACCTTATATAACGAAATCTTACCGTAGCATAAAATGTCCTCTGGTCCTTATAGAAGACGAGTGCAGTGGGGGTGAGGATCATGTAACAGTCCGTCCAATTCTTCTTACTCTTCTTGCCACCTTCCGAAAACTTTGTACGCTTTACAGGACATTCGTAAAGTACTGTTGCCTGAAATGAATGTAGCCAATGTGTTAATATAATCCACGTCAAATTTTTGTAATCATCACAGGCTTTTAACCGAGAACATTGACATATGGCAACCGAGTTCTATATTAAATATAAATTGTGATTCTTCGTTTTCTTATTAAAGACTAGCGGCCGGCTTCACACGGGTGGCCTTTTTTTTTAAAATTTGTAGATATTGATATATTCTTTAATTTAAATGCATTTTTTTACACCTTGGGTAATGTTACCCTATACAATAATGTTATTGTAATTTTATATTTTTATTATATAAGGGATCCTTCTTTTTCTTGCAATTAAAATAGCCTATATTAATCAGTAATAATGAAGCTATAATGGCGAAATAATTTTTAAAATCGGTCCAGTATTTTTTGAGGCAATTCGTCAAAAATATGTAAGTATGTTACATACGTATCTTTCCTCTTTACAATATTAGTATAGAAAACAAAAAGATAAAAGACGAAATGCTATAAACAAGATGCGCTTACCTCAATCGGTATATGCATGAGTCTAGGTGAGGACATGGGCGGTCGCTGAGCCTTCTGCTTTGGCGCCACCATGGACCTCGACTTTCTTTCCTTTTTGTACCCTGGCTTCTCGCGAACCTCTACATCCAGGCTGTCTCCAGATGAAGAGGCTGGAAGCTGCAGGTGATTTGGACGACGGTTGACTGCCAGGAGATTTTCCGTAGAGCCACCTGGAATTTTAAGAGGGTACAAGTGATGGTATGTCGTTTGCTGAATATGCAAATATCCCAAGTAATTTATGACTTATCAAGTTTTTTGTTTAATTTTTGTTTTGTATTTACTTTATACACATCAAATCCGGTACGGGTACCGACAAGTACACAACACTGTGTGTATGATCATTCTTATTAATTACTATTTGCTTTTTGGAGAGTACAAAGTGAAGGAAGTAATTACCAAGTCTCTTGCTGCTCCATAGTGGTGGACTATCAGAGCTGGATTTATAGCTCCTTTCGAGCTCAGGACGACTCCTCTCGGAAGTCGGAGACCAATTCCAGGCTTTTGCTGGCACGTCCTTCAGGCTCTCCTGAAAAACAAAATAACGATTATATTTCTCTCTAGATTTAAATAATCACAACATTTTGTTGATATTCAACAAAGTGACACTGAGAATGCAAAACCTTTAAAGCAGCGTAAACTTCAAATTACTGGGTTTCACGGTTCTTAACCATGCACCCAGGTTTTTATTCAGTAAATTATTTCGAACGGAAGTTCTCGGCTCAATTTTCAAAGAAACAAATATTTTTGTTTCCAAGGGTCAGATGATCAGTGATCACTAACTTGTTAAAAAAGACATTCGGTGAAACAATTGTTTCTGCTCTTAAATAGGAAATTCATAAGACCCATACCGTCATTAAACCAGTCAAATTATCGTTATCCTGCAGACTATATTGAAAATTGCCAAATAAGGCTATGTAGTTGAACAATGACGTTCCATGTAACCGCAAATTTATTACCATATAGAGTTAATTGCACTAATCAATAGGGAATTAAAATGTTATTATATGAAAAGGCAAATAAGTAGTTAGTAGTAGTATTAAGTTCTAGTAGTTTGTCTCCGTGACTAAATATATAGTAAAACTGGCGCTCTAAGCTTACACCCCTATACGCTATACATGTAAGTGCTATACATACAGCAATAAATGTGAGATGATATAAATCTTCCTAGGGATCAGTCGGATTGAAGACAATATACAAGTAGACACCCTGGTACATCTTAATATATATAAATTACGAGTCACGTTGTTTGTCCGCAATGGACTCCTAAACTACCGAACCGATATCAATCAAATTTGCACACCGAGTGCAGTTTGATCTAACATAAAAGATAGGATAGCTTACATCTCAATTTATACCCGCAATATTATTTTATTGCAAAATATCTGTTTATTATTTGACAGTCACAATTCTAGCAGATGGCGCTGAGTTGAAAGTACCAACGTTTCACATAACCTACAATTTAATGGCATAACCACCAAAAAAGCATGGTGGTTCTCTCGACTGGTGTTTTCCTACCATTTCGTTTGAATAGTTTACTACTATGTAATAAACAAAAACCTTAGCCACAGCAACGCTTGGCCGAGTCTGCTAGTATAATATATATATTACGTTTTGATTTCTCTCTTAGGTAGCTGTCTGAGCGTCGTGATGCTGGTGGCATCTGGAACGGACTTTCAGTTTCCACTGGTAGTATCGCAGTAAGACAGGCGCTGGTCAAATATCGGTGGAAACGTTTTATTTAATACATTGTAAAAATCCGCAGGACAATCCAGACTTTTCACTAAGGAAATTGTATAGTTGAATTATGAGGTAACAAACTAATTCAAAGCACAGATTGCGAAATAGTCTCATTACGTTAAAGATCATCTTCGTAGATGCTTTACACATTCTAATTTTAATCTTGAACTCGTAAATGTAAGTTATAATCTAAGATATTACCTGTGGTTAGTACTAACAAATATTGATAATAAATATGAACCTTATTGCTCAGTAATAAGGTTAAAATGAAACTTAAATCACAATGGCATCCAGGAAAAATTATTTGTATTGTCCATTTGCTAATGTATAACGTAACCAAATATAATAGTTTCCACATATGCATATGTATTTCAATATTGTTTTAGTCAAGTAAACGACTCTATATATGCTTCTAATGTGTACCTTTACCCTTAAGAATGTCAAATCTCTCACTCTAGAGGACTTCCGCAAAGATATTCTCTATCCCTCTTTTTTGTATGTTTTTAATAGAGACAGCACTAAGTCTACGTTTAGTAAAAAAACATACCTCACGAAACCAGGTTTTCGTCCTTCTAAACATTGTTAACACTGTCTACCCATTTTTCACTACATATTGTTATAGACTTTAAATTAAACAGATATTAAATATAATTTAAATACGTCCGACATGACACACGTACATTGTAGCGTGTACCATAATGATATGACTAGTGTGGTAACATGCATGTCGATGTTTTAGCAATCCATGAATAATCGTGTCGAAACTAGTAATTAAAAGGATGTATTTAGTTCATTGTTTGTAATTAAGTTTATTTTTAAGTATATACGTAATGCCTATCTAGTTATATATAGTTTTATCGATATATGAAAAAAAAGTATGTTAATATTCGATTATCAATAAACTAAAAATATTGTTATTATTTTCCTTATACAAACGACGTTTACATTTTAAGAACATTTTATTTTTTATACTACGTTAGAAGATATTCAATACGTTTAAAAATAGAATCCTGCAGTAATGGGTATTTTATTGTATCCTTATACATGTTTTCCTTATGTTAATCTAACTATCACTGAATAAAACCAAGGGGTCTGGTAAATCCGCCATTATGGTATATTTATAATTTTTACTATGTTATTGCTGTTGTTTAAATTTAGAATGTTTTTATTTATTTCAAAGTCTAAGGTCCATATTCTAATTTGTAACTCAAGTAACAATCTTATTATGAGCGGTGTTAAATATGTTCAATCTTTATACCGAAAAACTGTTTGACAGCTCTTGCAACCAGATTTTTTTTCCTGCTCTATAGCAGGCTCACCTGATGTTAAGTGACACCGCCGCTCATGGACACTTTCAATGTCAGAGGCCTCGCAAATGCGTTGCCGGCATAAGAATTAAGAATTGGTACGCTCTTTTTCTGAAGGACCCTAAGTCGGATTGGTTTGGAAATACTTCAGTGGGCAGCTGGTTCCACATAGTTGAGCGCGGCTAAAACTGCCTTGAAAAACGCTCAGTTGTGGAACGGCGGACGTCGAGATGATACGGGTAATTTAAAGTCGATTAACGTGTGTTTGCCATGATCTGTATACAATTTTGCTTGCAAAGTCACACTATGGCAAAACTGATTAATAGTACTTAAAAATCCTCTTAATCGATATTTTGATAAACGCGTTTATCGATAATTATCATCACTAAGCATTATCAGTGGTCGATGTTAGGAAATGTGCCCTTATCACTCGTTTTATTACGTTCACTGATTACTACGGCGGAATTCATTGAAAATATTGCAATTATGCCAGTTATGTCCAATCGCTACATGGAAAGTTGTGATCAGGGCCAGAAGTCTTGGTTTCATTACCACTCCGCACTGTATTCAATAATTTAGGACATAAATAAGGAAGCTGGGAACTTATAAATAAATCTTCCACGAGCCTCAAAAAGATGTTAAATGTCACATTATTGTTAATAAATATTATGAAAACATTCTTTAGATTTTTGTATTGAGCATGTTGAGAAAAGTGAAGAGAAAAAATCTTGTGTAAAAAACATTCGAAAACAAAATTACTCACATAGGAAACAATTATTTTATGCAAATTTAAGTAAATCACCTTCGATAAGAACTAAAAACATTCTACTGCCTACTTGTATTTATTTTTACCATCAGTTTTTATAACCTTAAAAAATCTGAGTTTTACAATTCGATGCGATTTTTAAATTATTTTTTTGTATACTACTACTACTATATTTTTTTTGTGTATGTACACGTCTCAGTTTGAGGATCACGTTTGACAATCTGACAAAGGATTTTTTGTATTGCGGTGTATATTTTCATAAAGATGAGAGGTATCAAACGTCAAGCCATCAAACGCAATAAATCTACAAAAATTATAGACGCTTTTACTTAATAGTTTTGTTAAAAATTAAAATGCTTACATAACATATTACTTTTTCTTATTTGTGAAAGATATACGTTCAGTAGGATATAAAACCGTGGATAGTTGGGTTGGGTAGGATTTGCCATATGTACCTGGACCAAATCCAGGACGTACTAGAGAAGAGACAACTTAATAGTAACCATAACCGACGAGTATGCATGGAGAATGAAAGAGGATGAAGCAAGAGAGGTCAGCCCTGCGATTCTGTAACTCACTTTTCGAACTCACACAGTGGTTTTCGCATCGGCGGTCGCTCTCAAATCAGTCGTGAAGCAGTCATTTTATGATTTGGCACTCTGATAAGCAATAAACTACAAGCCCTCCCACCTTTTCAGAATGCCAAATCATAAAATGACTGCTTCACGACTGATTTTAGAGCGACCGCCGATGCGAAAACCGCTGTGTGAGTTCGAAAAGTGAGTTACAGAATCGCAGGGCAGGACCGTAGCAAGTGGAGATCCCAGATCTCTGCCTACCCCTTCAGGAAAAAGGCGTGAAGATTTAAATACATAAGATATAGACTGAATAGTGTTTAAGATAACGTCGAAGTCTCCTTCAATAATATATTCATCGGTATGTTGTTATTGGTTTAATAGCACGTATTCGTCACAGTAGTCTTACTTATTAGAAGAGATAAGAATGACTCAACACTGATAGGCGTATTTTGCAGTCGTTTACCTTACCGCAATATTTAATTATAATAATAATGGAAGTCCAAAGCGAGCCATATAAGACTATCTAAACTTTTAAGTATTAACCACAAGAAATCGTTGTCGAAATTAATTTGGACAACAAGGCGGTTATTTATTTAGTCATGTTTCAGTAATGCTGATTAATTAAAGTATTAGTTAACATTCTGATAACAACAACATTGAAAGTAAATTATTTTAGATACGTTTTAATGTGACGACATTATTGTTTATAGGCGACCAATGACCACACATTAACTCGTTGCAGCTTAAATTAAAATTCGAACCAATTCATTCAATGATTAACCGGATGCCGCCATCTTGAAAGCACACATTGTATTCGCGCGCATAATTAAAAGTAATCGATATTAACACGCCGTTTTGGTGCGCAGAGTCACTTGTCTTTTATTTACTGCTCTATAGTTTATATACTATCTACTTCTTTCAAATGTTGACGTTGACAAGTTCACGTAGTACAGGCATGTGGTAGACTGTATTCGCTCAGGCTCACTATCTAATTGACTATGAACCACTATTGTAGTTCAGAATAGACTGGGAACTAAATACTAATATGAATTTAGTTTGTAAATACCTCTGGATATTGCACTCGTTGGTCACGTCTGGGCTGCCTATACTGGGTGATCCTAGGGATGACCAGTGGGGGCCTCCTGTCACGACTGTACACTTCACATTCTTCTGGCGTGATCCACTGAAACAATAGAATTAGAATTATATCAAGTTTTATTTTTTCTTCTTAAATTAATTCTACACCGGATGTTGCATTTACAATAGTGTAAAAATATTGCGTACGTTTTATTTTAAAAGTTTGGTTAGTACGTTGGGAAATAGACTAGGTAAAGTGCTAAGTTCTGGTAAGTCTGGTAGGTTAGCTATTATGTTGGTCTGGCTGATTCTAGTAACAAGCGGTTAATAGGCGGATATGGTAATTGTATGCGTTGTGCAGACGAACAGAGTGTTATTGATAGATGCACAGATGTACATCGCAAATTAACTTCCTCCTCGTGCTTCTCATGTTTCAGGCGCCACATTCCATAGACAAAAATACGTTTACGAGTTTACATCACTATGATTCTTTACGGAATAATTCAAATACTTATTTAGCTTAAATTCAAGATTACCGTTAAAAATTTAATAAGATAGTGATGAAACAGATCTTGAAATCACAAGGTTGATTAACGCTTTATTATAAAGATTATCTATGATAAATGCATAACTGTGTTGCCGTATTTTTCACAATTTGTTCAATGCCTAATAGGACAGGACGTAAAATCCAGATGCACATGAATTAATAAAAAATAATATGCATACTGTTTGAATGACCTAACGGCAATATGATTCTGTGGTTTCCGGATAAGGTGACGTAGTCTGCTTACTAAGTACCAGTTCCGGGTTTAATTTTGAGTGACATTATTACACTACTATAATATGATTCTAATGTAAAAAATATTTTTTATCCTATCTGCTTTTGCCCGAATAATATATTTCATAACAAAGAGTATGATATAATATACAATCAAGTTGTCACAAGGAGCATATGAAGCCATAAACCTCAATGGAGATCATTAAATAATATTTATGGCGACGAATATGCACCATGTCCTGTGGAAGTTACGACATACAGTAGGTATTAACTATGATGAATGTAGCGTATATCAAGATAAAATATAAATAAGTCGTTAAAAAGTTCCGCTTAACATATCTATAAATTATCAATAATTTCTTAGTGATTTTCCTATTTTTCTTACTTTTTTTTTATGGCTCTGGCACGATTTGTGCATTAGCCAGCGTCAAGTATAGGATTATTTTTTATAATTTATGCTTGTCTTTAGTAATTCGACCGTGTCCTCCATGTACGGTTTAGGCACTCGCCCGGTACCGCACAACACTGCCAGAGGCCGAGAACAAATTTAAATTAAATTAAAACTTGCCCTCGAACCGGGAATCGAACTCGGTACCCCTCACCTAGCTGCCACTTAATAAGACCGCTAGGCTATAAGGCCCCTCATTTTCTTACTTTATTAAAACAATAAACTGTATTTAGAATTATTATAAGGTTTTATATGATGGTTTGGAATCATTAATAGCAACTCTACACAGATATAATTCAATATATTTAAACTCACAGATAACAGTAAAAGAAAACAGATTTTTAAAATAATTATTTATTAACGATTTTTACGTTATACCCTTATTTTATCAGCTTAAATATTAGATAATAAGAATTAATAATAATAGTCACAATTACCTTTATTATTAAAGTAAAAGTAAAGTAAAAAATAATTTAATCACATAGGTAACATAATGTACACTTATGACATGTCAGTAAAGAAATACATATTAATGCTTCTAATTTTACATTTACTGCCAGTTCTCAAATCAAGGGCGTAGAACGGGAGAGAAGAACTGGCAATAAACTCTCCGCCACTCTTTTTAATCGCCATTTTTTTGTTTTACAATATGTTTGTAAGGAGCTGCAACCATTACACCATGTGCCATGTGACATTTTAAGTAATTAATAATAATAACATAAATTAAAATTATTAAGAGATTATATGTCAATTTACTGTGTGTATACTAAGTGTCGAATAACACTAATTAGTAATATAAGAACCTGTTGCCTTTTCTATATTCAATATAGATTCATATCATTTAACAAAGACCGGGGGTGTATCATTCATTGATGTCAAGGAGATGAACTAAGGACACGAAAGAGCTGTGCGTGACTCATTCATTTTCGTATGGGCGTGTGAGCTAATAATTTTACGCTTCATGACGATAAACATTTTTTGTTCTTTATTGTCGGGAAAATCCATAAGGATAATAATAGTGTGATTACCAGACTAAAATTTATAAAAATATTGTCTTATGACCTCAAAATGAAATTAACGTTCGGCCATTTAACTTTGTGAATATCAACAACTCTATGGACAATAGACAGTTATGATAAATATTTTACGAGATCGTCCCATCCGGCCTCAAACATGAATAAATCAACGATAACGAAAAGTCATAAACCACAATACGAACAAATGGTCACCGCATCCGTCGATATTGTTTAGACATTCTACTTTAAGACATATGAATTGTATTTTTACCGTGCTCCATAGATCATTCTGTAGTCACTGACTCAAAACCGCTCAATGTAATGGTAGATTCTCTTTGAAGTTTGGTAGGAAGCAAAAATAAAAATCTTTTAAACCGAAACTTAAGATATAAACATCTTTTTCTTCTGTCAACCGTGACATCATACGCTTTTTTGTAACGTAAACGTCGGTCACAATTTCAAAAAATTATGTAATTTATTTATAACAGTTACAATGTCCATAACTTCAGATCCTAAAAACAATTAAGATTTTCAAATTTCAGTTAAGGGTATGCATTACCCTAATATCCACTAGGAAGTACACTTTGAGAACCACTGTAGAACAAAGCTTCAAACAGGTCGCTCTTTCGTGAAAGTCGAGAAACCCAGGCATGAGAGTACCGGGGAATGGGCGGCTTGTTGTCGCTGAACAGTGCGAGCCGAACTCACAGCGACAATTATGTTCCGGCAGGGCAATTTTGTAAGGAACGTTTAGCCTGATGATCTCTCCCAGCAAGCATGCGCTTTCCGTGTCATTCTTAATTACACTCAAATCAAGACCTGAACCAAAAATCCATAGAACTCAATCAATTATGAACAAATGGTCACCAAGCACTTAGTCGGTAGAGGTATAGGTAAGACATTCTATCTTCTTTTATAAGACTTAGGAACTCTTTTGCACTCGTCTCAATCAGACTTCAGGGGGACTCATATGACGCAGCTAGTTCCGAAGATTTGGCCTTACTAATGATGAAAAGCAAACCCTTGGCAGTGTCTTCTATACCAACCGAATTTCCCAAAGAGACAAACCATAATCTTATCAGCATCCGTCAATCGTCGACATATAACTTTGAAAATCTGGCAAAACACACAATCACTCTGTCTCGCGCCTAATAACTTTTTACTATTTATAGTCGCAGAGTATTGTGATTCGTAGAGTTCTAAAGGTTAGCTTTACATTTTATAATTGTATTAGAGTTTATTTAATTCAATCTGTTTCAGTTAATCCAAATCAAATGCAACACAGACGTTCATTGCCAAGTTACAACTTTTTAAAGACCCAACTTCTTATGTATTTCAACAACGTTTACAAATTTGACGAAAGTGCTTAATACTACGCCTTTCGTTCGTAAAACTACCAGGAGGCCTGTTTGTTTGTCATTGTTATCTGTAATTTTTTTAAATTTAGTTATGCATCTTTTGCACTTTACCCTTATTTTTTTACCTTACTAGGGTTTCCTGGAAGAGGTAGCTGTTAGCGATAAGCCCGTCTGTTGCCTCCTTAATTTTTGTTATCTGAATGTAAAAAAATATTTGGGCACAAACGAGTCTCCTTCGTAATGAAAAATTACTAAGACTTTTTAACTCAATCATGTATACTTTATACTCGTATGTCTTATATGTTATAACATAATGTACTTTTACAAGCCAAGGCTGCATGCACACTCGGGCTTTTTTAGTTTTACAACGTAGCGATTACCTAAATCATCAGAGTTACGCCCCAAGAGTATAACCAGACAGTCACTCTCTTGAGCATTTTATAAGCAAAGCATTGCATAAAACTATTCTTTTGTTAGACGTGAGTGGTAAATATAGAGTGAAAATAACATCCTCTATTATTAAAAACCAGTTGACCCAGGAACCGTACAGTACAGTTTTTTAATTTAAATTCTAAACTAAACATTTGTCTATTCTATTAATGAAACTATTTAATCACCTTCCCTGAGGCTACAAATCACTACCTTGAAATGCTTTCAGATTTTATTTTAGATTATTAAAGGCTATAATGCGAGCCAGTTCTTCGATTATAAATTTTGATATATAGAATATGACACAAAATAAAATAAATGCTAATCATAATTTGACATTTGCGTGTTATTTTGACATGGCTGATTGCGCTTCTTTTAATCGTCCATCATTAGATGGATTAATATGTACCACTGTAATCTAGCCTATTTCAGCTAAAAAACAGTTATAGTCAATATAATTTATAGTCCACTCAGTGTTATAAAGATTAAAAAACTGTCTTATAAAGATAGCAATAAACCTTTTCAGTCTATACAGTCTATTCAGAGCACTACATTATAGTCAGAGCACTATGTTCTAATTCGTCTTGAGCGCTGTCAATGTATCAAAATTCATATAGAATCGGTTTGACAGCTTTTGAAACAAGGTTTAAAGTTTATTTATATAAAAAAAACTGTTTCGCGCCCGCCTTTGATGGAGAATTAAAATAAATTTTATGTTTCATTATTTTATTTTATTTTTCATATTTTTATTATTCTTTTTAACTTCCCGCTAAGAAAATTGAAATATTTGAAAATCGAGTTTTAACAGATGTTGACGTTTAGAGGTCCCAGGAAGACTCCCCGAAGTTTCCACGGTGAAGTCCGTATGGTAAATTTTCTAAAAGTAAAAAGCAATAAAAATGAAGGAACGTTGGAATTTAATAAATAAATAGCCATAAACCATCTAGGAAAAATTTCGCATCGAAGGTGGTAGTACGATCGGTTTGAACGATCAGTGGTTTAGGCGTGAACGAGCTCAAAGAAGACCATTTTTTTTATATATAAAATAAGGTCCTCTAACCTTTGACACACGGGAGTCCCACTTAGCGGTATGTCTGCTTTCTGAACCTTAACCATATCCACTTAACGAAGAACAAAAACCAATTTTAAAATTAGAGAAATTAAACCGAATAAAAATAACTGTCAACCCCTCTGTGATAGTATGTTGTATTCTTTTTTTTAAATGTAATAGGAGGAAAACGGGCAGGAGGCTCACCTGTTGTTAAGTGATACCGCCGCCCATGGACACTTACACCTCCTCTTAACAGATATCTATCTGCACAAACGACGCTTTGAGGACATGCGAGGCTAGTCCATATTAAGACAATCTCTATGTCTTCAGGCGTAAGATGCCACTGTGTGTTGTTCTCTAGTTTAGTCATTCATATTTATTGTATTATTTATTTTAACTTTTATCATTGCAATGTTTCCCTTTAAATGTTGTGCACACTTAAACAAATAACACTTGTCATTGATGCACATGCATGTATTGTCTTTTTCTATGTCGTGTGTTCTCTGAAGGCGTCTGTATGTGTTTCGTTAGTGTGCCTTTTTTAAAATAAATAAATTTATTATACATGGCTTCCAGAACCTATACATAAAAAAAGGAATTTTATTAGCATCGATGATCACTTCGATACGTTTAGTTCTCAATGCATAAACATACATACACTTACAAAATTTACCCTTTATTCGCCGTAAAATAAACTTACAGAAAATATAAGTATTGCTAAGTACTTCTAAGAATATGGTTCGTGTTGGTCTCAATTGAAAACATGAGTTTTTCCGCCAATGTCACGCGTGGCTGCTCGTTATGGCAATTTACATAGAAATCTATTTTCCATTATTTAACATCTGATACGGAACTAAGAGGCTTCCTGAAGGCGAACGTTGACAGCGAAAGTTGATGATAATAAATTTAAAAACAAAATTAAAGAAAATGCTGTTGACGCTATTGTGTGAGCGCATTATCAAAATACTTGGAACAGAGTTTACAACTAAACTAATTTAGATGATTAAATTAATTTAGAATTAAATTACATTTAGAATTGAATTAACAATCAAAATAAATGAAAATGCTGGTGCCCAAAAATCTTTAAAAATTACTTAAGTTGCCGTTCTCAGAGATGCTTATATTATGTTAGCGTCTTATCATAATCAACGTCACAGGTAAATCTGTAAAATAGGCATTTTATTTTTTAAGTTTAGACTAAAATACAGAAGTCGCAAAATGTCATTAAGGATAAACATTTCATATCAATGGTATAATGTCAAGATTAAAGAACACATATCAATATTACTAAACGTCTAGTGACGCTCCAACTCCGATCTTGATCTAGTACTAATATAGAGAAACTCTTACTTATCACTTCTTTGCGGTTACTTCGTATTATATAATGGAATACTTAGTTATCCAGTAGGGCTGAAAAAGTATGAATATTCTCGTTTAATTTCTCCAGCCAGTTGGTCTTAATTTATCAAGTTTCATGCATTTGACCTCGGTGCCATCATGAATGAACCATTCACTTGCGTTTTGCTTGAGCGAGATAGCCAGTTAATGATATAGTGCATGAGAGAGACAGAATATGGGAATAATTAAAGGTAATTGAGAATTGGAAATGTGTCTTTCGAATCGTAAACTACAATTTATGGAATGGTTTGAAAGGGGAGAAAGAAGAAAATATGAGGACTGTGTATGTAGTAATAGCAGACTTCGTTAAAATACGTAATCCTATAGGTGATTTTGTAGTTACGAAGTTTTAATTGTATTTTTTTGACAACAGAATAAAACTAACAAATACAGTAGAGTGATTAGTACTTTTAACTCATGTATAGAAAACAATTCGTTTTAATACCGGTTTATGGAGATAGACACAAAATATAATAAAATAAACAATTGAGATAAACTTTTAATGTAAAAAGCACTTTTAAAACGTCAGCCAAGGAAGTAGGTAGGTCTTATGTAAAAACCTCATACTACTTCTACATATAAACACTATATTTACATCATAAACAACATAACAACATTATAATAAAAGTAAAGGCTGGCAACGCACTTGCGAGCTTTCTGGCAATGTGAGTGCCCATGGGCAACGGTACCAATTAACATGAGGTGAGCCCCATGTTATCTATAAAAAAGGCAATAGATACGAAAATATTTTCAACTGTGTTTCAGTTTCAATTACTAATACAAATAATAATTAAATAGTATAATTCTAAGTTAAGCATACTGCTTGCTATAACTGGCGCGTAGTTATTTTGGAGCGAATTTTGTATGAAAATTTTTTACATTTTAGCGTGCATAAACATGACTAAATTTTGGAATCTGTTCAAGCCTGTCCAGAAATTTGAAGTTAAAATTGTTTAAAGAAACGTTGTTACAATGATTTAGCTTCACTCTTCGACTATTACAAGATAACAACATTTACCTAAAATTTCTCACATTTAATTAACAAACAGATAACGGTGTTTCGTAATATCGTGACTCAACGTTCCGGTCTATAGTCTATGATTGTTTACGTACGCGGTGCAACAACCCATATTTCGCTGACCTTACAACTACTAATACATGTCGATTAAAAAAATGATTTTTTTTTATTTAGCTATTATACATAGTAGAGTTCAGATTGAGGCCACCCTGACAAACTGTGGCATCTCATTTCTCATCTGACTCTCATTTCATTCTTCGCTAATTTTAAATTTTAATAACTTAGTGTTTGCAATCGAACTCGGATGGAACTTAACGCGTGGAAGTTAACATAAGTAGTTTATGTTAACTAATATCTTAGAATAGAATTGATTAATTTGTAAACCGTAAAAAAAATTATAAAGAAAATATCTTACAAAAGATGTAAAGAATTCTAAATTAGTTTAAACAAAATAACTTATAACATATAAGTATTATTAAGATAGGTATTCACTCCTATATTACTCGATTATTTATGGAAAAATTATTATTTCACTGAGAAACGATTCGAGTTTTAATAGTAACATTGATCATAGTTTGGTAAAAGAAGGCAGGAAGTTCTATTTTTATTAAACAAGCATATGACGGCCGCCTTAAGATAATATTTATGAAAACGCCTATAGATTTACTATTTTTTCAAGCAATAAATTTTTTACGATATATTTAGAACTTTCTTTTAATGTTAAACCAAAAATGGAATACTTGATACTACAATTATGTATAATACAAATTGTGTGGACTGCATGGTCCTTAAAAACTTCTAATATAATATTTATGACAATATTGTAACACA